AAAGCCTGCGTCGAGGTAGTGTCACTAAACCTCCAAAGCATCTATAATATTAGTTTCAGCGGTCACAGGGTTTCTTTCAATTAACCATATTCATCTTAAAGAAAAACTGGGATCGATCAAAGCTGAACTAAACCTTTCCTACAGCAGGAGCTGCAGCACAAGCGTCGGTGCACACAGGAGTTAACAGCATCTTCATTCATATTTCAGAGAAGGTTCAAACTTGATGTCTTCATATGACACAAATCAAGAATTAAAAAAATAACATCAGACAACAGAAACATGAACATTTCACTCAAAAAACTGGACACAACAGAACATTAAAGCCTTTTTCCTGCAGTCAAACCCTGAACTCTGAGCCTCAATCAAGTAAATGGAGATTGTTTGTTCATTAAAACTAACCCATTCAATTTGGTGCAGCAATTTTTTGTATGAATACTGTTATAAAGGAGCCATCTTTCTCTCATCTTTCTCTCTGCAGACTTCACATCTTTGTTGATGAAGATTTGTCTTAAATTAAAACCTTATAGTTTCATGTTGATTTCTGACAATCAATATAAAACATTAGTTTCAGCTGTAGTTTAATCACAGTAAAAAAAAGCTGACAAATGTTTTTAGTGGTTTTATGTTGATCACAAGCACAAAAAACAGAAAAAGTCATTAACATGTGAATTATTCAGCTTTGTAGTTACCTTTTTGTTGATATTTATTCACCTTCACAATAATTGGAATAAGTAAGCAAAATATTGGTCACTGGTGTCATTAAGTCCCATCTAATTTTTTCAGTATTTTAGTATTAGACAGCAGTGAGGTCTCTTGAGCTGGTTACTCAAAAAAGATCCTGCCTTAGACATGGTTGTTTAAGAAATCATCAGTTCAACAACCTGTTACCAGCTGAAACATTAATCACTGCAGGAATAAATCAATAGAGGGCTTCAAACTCCAAAAATGGGTAAGAATTAATAAATTCTTGGGAGCTTGAGGGTCCTGCGCAGTATCTTAGCTGTTCATATAGGACTGCACTCTTATTGACAGAGATCTCCGATGTTATTCCCGGGATCTGCTGGAGCCACTCGCCTAGTTTGGGTCCTTCTTCCTGATGTTGCTGTCATTGGGAACCGCTACATCGATCACTACGGCCGTCTTCTTTTTTTTATTGTCTATCACCACTATGTCCGGTTGGTTAGCCGACACCATTATGTCTGTCTGTATCTGGAAGTCCCACAGGATCTTAGCTCGGTCATTCTCCACCACCCTTGGGGGCGTCTCCCATTTTGACCTCGTGACTTCCAGGTTATACTCGGCACAGATGTTTCTGTATGCCGGCCACTTGGTTATGGCGTTTCCTGTATGTCTGCTAGCATCTAAAAGCAAAGCCACACCTCTTGGCATCAGGATCAGCCAATCCCAGCTGTCAAATGCCGAAAGTCACAGTCACATGTTCTGCAACAGGTGAGGAGTTGAATTTTACTGGAAGCAACTGAATGCAACACAATATCACCAGCCCTCCAGGTGAGGTAGACGCTCTCAGCGACGTAATCTGCAGTTTACACTGAAAAACTGACATTGTGAATGTACCTCTACATCTAAAGAAAACAAAAAGTAAGTAAGTAAACCAGTAACATAAAATATACATTATTATTTCGTAGCGTTTTTGGTTTGACTCACTTGGGATTGAACTGAAATGGTTTTGCTTTTAAACATGAAATCATTTCCCTGCCGCAGATCGCTGAACAGGTTCGACTGGATGCACCTGACGGACAGCGCACAGTGAGATGACTTCGTAGACAGCATTTGAATCATGGTGAAAATAAATCTCAGTGCTGAGTAAAACATCAGACCTGATGATACTGAAAAGTGATCGGGAGGAGATCCTGTGCTACGCTGCGCCCCACAGATCTTCTCTGTGAATATATCAGGTAAGCATTCGATTATTTTCTATATTTGAATTGTGCAAAATGTATTTTAGCTCAAATTCTAGTGTATGCACTGATATATCGGCTATTTGCCATCATAAGACAAATACATTGGCTATATTAATTATCTGAACACTTTTTAGTGTTTGTAGTCTGTGTGTCTGTAAACACAGTGTGCTCTGTTCATCTGTTTTAATTAAGCTTTGCTCACATTTTGTGGATGTTTTTCTTTTGTAGATGAAGCCGGTGTCAGTCTGAGAGTTTCCAGCTTATGCCCAGAGGTGGTGGGAGCATGACATCACAAAGTGTAAGAGTGAATTCACTTAAAGTAATGTTAAACTAAGATTTTTCTGTACATATTCACTTATTGAAGTCTTTAATTTTAAGGTTATATGCAGATCAAAGATTCCCATAAACACACTCAGCCTTCCCAGAAGAGTGGAGCTGTTAGGTGCAAAGGGTGGGACGACATCATCTTAAACTCCTCGATAAATTCAGCTGCATTTATTGAGAACAAGAATTCTGGTGTCATGCACTGCATGTCAGGGTCTTTCCTGGCTAAACTTCAGCCTTTTGAAGGCCTAGCACAAGCATTATTGTCTCACACACACAATGTTGGAAAGGTTACTTTTAAAATGTATCCCACTACAGATTACAGAATACATGCCTCAAAATGTATTTTGTAACGTATTCCATTACATTACTCAATGAGAGTAACACATTCTGAATACTTTTGATATATTATCATGCTTTTTACAAACAGGTCCGCGGCTCTGAACCGTAGTAAAGGGACCTCTGGCTAATACGTCGGGTTCGTGTCGGGCTCGTAGCTGAAAACTAGCTTTACTTTGTTTTCGAGGTCAAGTTTG